CCCGCTGGGTGATACAGCTCCTGAAATTTCTGCCTTTCTAACTGTTCATGCAAAGTGAGCGTGGTCTGGTATTTACTCTTAGGCAAAATGAATCAGAAGCATAAAGACGTCAGAGATGAATTGGGACCCTTCTCTGTGTAAGGTGTCTGCTCTTTCTTTGTACAAGCTTTTCTTTTATAGGCAAAAGCCTCAGGCTTTTATTTCAAGAAACATGGTTGAAAGGCATTTTGCTGTAGAGTGGGTAATATTAACATAGAGCTTCCTACATCACTGTTAGAATTTGTGGCTAAAGCGGACGCTTCAGCCCAACAGCAAACCTTCATAACAGGTTGCATTCGCAAGTAAAGTTCTACCCTGTTTTAAAGGGAGGCTGAATTTTTGATGTTTTAGTCAGGGCTGAGGATCATCATCATCATCGTCACAGTTGCCATTTTTTCACCCAAGATCTTAAAGGATTCTACAATGACAGGTACTGTTACATTTTTTTTACTGTCCAGGTTAGAGAAATCAAGGAGATGAAGTGTCAGGTGACTTGCTCAAGGTCATGCAGCAAAGCTGTGAATATAGATAATTCCCATGTGGCCTGTTAAAAGTGTATTACCAGAAACTCTGGCATCCTTTTTCTAACCCCATGTGTTGCCGAATGTTTATGTATGAGCTGAGGCAGCTTAAACAAGGAGCACTAAAGAACTTCTGGGTACTGATTTGTTTAGCAGAGTGGGCAAGGTACAAGTGCTTAGAGATTTTTAAGCAACTGCAGCTGAGTAACTGAAACCTTTCTGGAACCGGAGGGCTTGAGGGAAGATCAGCTATCTGCAGGCCCTATTAGTGAGTGCTTGTGGCTTTTAAATACATTCTACAAAAACTGATTCATTGGAGTTGAGGCAAATACAGTAAATATAAGCGATTGCAGCTGAAAGAGAAAGAAAGAATAAGGAACCTTGTGAGGCAGGTACTTTGGGTTGCTAAGTACCTTTTGTGATATTACAGTGCCAGTGTGAAACAAACAGCGAGAGCTAGAAAGCTGAAGGTAGGTTTTGTACAAACAGTGCCAAATGTGTCAGTGGTATTACTGCAATGTTTAAAGCGGGAGCGTAGTGTCAATTGTCATGCCTGTTTAAAAAAGAAAAAAGGGGGAGGTTGAGGAAGAGCCTGGCTCCTTGCAGCTCCATCCTCGTGGTGTTCTTCCCCAGGCTCTGCATTGACGTCACAATGACACGGTGAAGCCGAAGACAGGAGCTGGGAACGGTTCTTCTGCTTCACTTTTGATAATCGAGTGAATTTGTCGCCACTCTGTTCCTTCCAGCATGGCTAAGAGCGCAGAAGTGAAGCTGGCGATCTTTGGTCGAGCTGGCGTGGGCAAGTCAGGTATGTTTGCTGTCTGATTTTTTTCTTCTGCTTGTCATCAGGTAACTTTCTGCTCCCTTTGCAGACAAACTCTTTGTACAAAAAGACAGCTGTGACCTTATTCTTGTCAGGGAGGTCAGGATCAGGCCAGGAGTTCTCTCTCTCTCTTACTTTCCACACTATTTTCTCCAGAATAAAAGTACTTTTATCGCTTTAAAAAACACAACAACAACAAAAAAAACAAACTTCCCACCCCAACTCAATCCCACTTCTCACGAAGTGAGTGGCAAGATTGCTCTTTTCCATTGGAACAGAATTAGTATTTAATTTGTCTCTTCATAGCTTGTGCTAGATGAAGGTATTTATATTATGTTCCCTATCTCCTAAGATCAGATCCTCTGTTAAATATTGGATGACTTCTGTAATAGCTGTAATTCTGGTTGATTTCAGTGGGAAATTTTCGACTCAGCAACTCAAAGAATTTTTATTCTCAGTGCTCTCTTGGATTTACATATTTACCAGGAAACCAAGAAAATATGATGTGTAAAGTTTGCATTTGGAAAGATCTTTTGAGAAATAAACATAGTCTGGTGAGTTCATATAGTAGAAACACAAGGGGGAGGCATAAATGTTAAAAATCCATTTCTACAGACAGCCTTTGCTTTGGTGAGACAAGGAGCATAACGCAAGGGTCGCAAGCTCTCTCGGGTAGTTTGCTGGTGTTGCATTAACTTGACAGCTCCAGGACCACTCTAACATGTCCTTGGCACCACAGGGATGAGGAAATAAGGAGACTGAGTCTAATCATGCTCCTGTGCCAGTCTGGGAATTGTAAAATACTGTTTATTTTGGAGAAATCTGCACAAGAGAAGCCACGAGGTAGGACGTACCTGTAAGAGCATTAGGCAAGACTCTCAGCTGCTGTCAACCAGCTCCGGTTCCCCAAAGTAACTTTTATATTAGAAGTGCCAAGGTATTGGCCCATAAACTGCTATTATAGTTTCGTTAACTTTGGAACAGGTTGTTTACAAAAGCGTGTTTAGCCAGAAGGTATTCTACCAGAACGCTATCAGTGAAGTACCTCTGTCAGCCTTCAGGAGAAAAGGCGTACGTGAGGCAGAGGTTGTTAGAGATTATACCACTTATACAAAGACAATGCAGATTAAATTCTACCTTTTTGAATAAAATACCTGAGGGGATGCGGATAATATAGTGGGATAAGTTTAAACTGTTCCTTCTCTCCTGCTGCGCTCACCCCCGCCCCTCTTTTGTATTTGTATTTCACTGGACCCTCCAAGTTTTGCGAGTACCTTCAGTGGTTCTCCTTTTGGTATATGTCTTACATTTGGTCAAGGGTTTCTGTGGTTGTTCAGTCTTTCGGCTGGATTAAAAATAATGCAAGAGGATGTTGAAGTATTTGCAGGAGACTCCCCTCGCTCCGATATTCTGAGCCATTTGAGAGCATATATTTTTATAAAAATAGAAAAACGACCAGTTGAATGCTCAGTTAAAATGCCTCACCAGTATAGGATCAACAAGAGCCTTTTTAACCTGTTGTATCCTTTTTGTAGACTTCACTGTACTAGGATTTTATGGTAAAAATGTTGTCCTGTAGTCCTGGAAGTGGGTGGGAGATCACTTTTAATGAAAAGCCAATAAAAACATCCTAGTCTTTCAGAGTCCTCCTCCTCTCCTTTTCTTTATTTCCCTTTGAAATGCAAGGAAATATTACATAAAATATGACTAAGGTCCCCTCTTTTTGGTTGTGACCACGCCTGTGAATCTGTGTGGAAATGAAGGCGCAAATAAGTGGCAGCACAACAGGGTGAATTTAAGTGGGTGGAGAGACTACAGAGCGCTATCAGCCACCTCGACAGAGCAGCAGCTGTGCCTCCCAGAATCTCCAGCTTGGTTATGAAAACCCCTCTTGTACGTTCCCATAAAAGGATCCAGTTGCAACAGCTCAGCCAACTCCAGAGAAATAAGCGTGTGTGCCTGCGGGGGGTGTCTGAAAATACCTATTTGCCTGTATCCAACAGTAGGAGCTGTGGAAGTGCTGTTGCACCTTCGCTAAAAGCAGAGCGGGGCACAACGTAGTCTTCAGATAGCTGGGTTTGGCGGATAAGCACCCTGCTAAATTAGTGTTGATAGTGTCTCTTTTTAGTAATGTAATTCCCTATCCCTGTGACCAGCTTGTAATAAGTTGTTGAGACAGGATCCTGTGGCCATAGGTTACTAGCGTAGGCTTGGCCAGACAGCTGAAAGATAAGACTCTAGAAGCAAGAATGCAAGGCAGAATGCTGGAGTACACTAGATATGTCTGATGAAAAGGAGACATTGGGTGATAAATAAGGCCACTGTAATTGCCAGGAAGTCATGCCAAAATATGGTCACTGGCTTGCTTTCTTGGCTCATCTTCATTTGCTGAGGAAGAGCCAGGCATTAGGTTCTTAATCTGTAAGTGGCTTCACCACCTGACAGCATCTGTGGAGTTACAGACACATATTGTAATATCCTGGAGAAGCTCCTCTTCCAGTTCCTGACCGGGACTTTGGATCAGTGAGTCAAAGCAGCTATGAAGAAAGAAGTGTTGTTCTTCGGGACATGTGGAGAATTAAAGCTGTCCCTCATGCACCATGAAAGTCAATAAAATTGTTACCGTTACTGAGAGCTGAGGAAGATCCTAATCTCATCGTTAATACTAGACATCTGTTTAATGGGGTGCAAGATTACTTGTTCTACTAAGTAGTCCCTTCCAATTAATCCAAGCCTCTACCAAACATGAGGTGGGAAACCAGAACACTGTTCACAAGTCAGAATAGCGATAGCATCTCAAAAGAGAGTTAAAGCCAGGGAAGACAAAACTTTTCTCCACTTTCTTGCTGCTTATCGAGTTTCTGTGGCTCAAAGGTTTAAAAACCAAACAAGGGGTAATAGCAAGTCTGAGTGTCAGCTTTTTACTGTTCTCCTTCCTTGCCTTGTCTCCTCCCACCTGCTGGAGAAGGCCAGCAGAATTGCTAATCAACTCACCTGTCCTGTTTTGGTTTTTTACTTAATGTAGACCTAAACCTTTCAAATAGAAAAGGAGGAGCAAACCAACTCAGAAAGGGGCACGTAAGAGTGCTCTAGTAAGGCACTTAGTTCAGAATTACCCTGAGTAGTAAATGACTGGTCAGCTCATCCGGGCAAGCTCATCAGGTATGAGCATCCCAACCTGCTCTCGTACAGTGGACTGGGTGCTCCTCTCTTCACCCAGTTCTTATTGTATAAAAGTTGCATAAACATTGCTTTAAACTAGCTGAAAAAAACCAGCTGAGGAGCTCTGCCTGAGCCAAGGAGCACTTTGCTACTGCTTCACTTGGGAAGAAGAGGAGACGCTCTGTGGGTGGGAAGGGACGTTGCTAAGCCCTGCTATAGATAACAGGGCTGCACCTCCTAACTTGGGCTAGAGTCAAGTGGCACTGAGGAGGAGAGAGAGCTTTTAAAGTCTTTTTCTTTATGTCCAAGGGGAGCTTGGAGGGAGCGGAGAATTAAAGTTAGAGTGAATTGCTGAAACATTGCTGTTTAAATTGTTCTTCTGCTGAATCCTACAGCTTCATTCCTATGGTAACAAAAGTTAGAATTTCCTAAATAGCTCCTTTTAAAAATACAGTAGTAACAATTAGTAAAGACTTAAAGGCCTTGTTCTTCCATGTCATCACAAGGTACAGTACGTGCCCAGAAAGCTAAAGAGGAGTGAAAATGTATGAACCAGGAGGAAAAAAGAAGGGCGTGTATTGGATAGCACTGCATGGCTGATGCTTTTCCAACTCATAATTCAGTTGACTATGAATGCTCAAAATACCTCTGCTTAGGAGCCTTTGTATTTTGGCCAAAAAAGAGAAAATGTCCAGCTGCGGCATGTGCTATCCAACTTGCCTTTTAGCTGTGTGTGTGCCAGGCTGCATACTCCAAGTTTCTGCATTAGCATGTATGGTGCGCCCAGCCATGGGCAGATGCAGTTCTCATCTGTCTGGACGGGCCATGCAGCTGCAGCTGTGGTACGTGACACGGAAGTGTATGTGGTTTCTGCTGGTGCTTAAGTGACAGGGAAAATGCTAAAGCTCCCACAGGCTCCCCCCAGTAAATACGTGTCTGCTTCTAGGCAGCTATGCAAATCATTTTCTTAGGCAATCAGGTACATGAGACACAGGGCTGTTGTCACCTTTTGATCCAGCGATAGCTCAGATGCTTGCTTTTGGGCAAGAGGGTGATTGATAAAGTGGCATCAGTAAATATCATCCTGCAAGGAGCCTGTCCCATCTCAGAAATGAAGATCTCATCAACTTAAGTCATTTTAGTGTCAGTTGGGAAAGTCCTGTGTAGACATAGATTTGTATCTATTGGCTTACACCATTTTCCCCGTCTAACCCAGGATGGGGAACATACTTGGGAGAAAGATATCTGGATTGGAAAGTTCCTACAGAACAAATTCAAGCAACAGCCAAGCCAGAGAGGCCTACAATCAATCTGTGTTTTGTTTTCATTATTTGGGGATATATCTGAAATACACTACCAAGGATCACTGCCCAACTGCAGGGTCTGGGCATGTGGGGAATAGAACTGAATTCAGCACCCCCCCATCCCCAGCCCCCTTCAAAAAAAAACCCCGCACGGCTTACTGGGAAAGAAGCCCATTTCAAAGTGATTTTCTACTTCACAAATCCCTGCTCATATGTTTTCCCCCACTAGTTTCATTTCAGGGACTTTTGGGGAGGAAACATGAGTTATTAAGGAGTGATTAGTCATCAAGCTCACAGCTCTGCTAGTAAGGCAGGGAAAGCTACCACAAAAGCTTCAAAGTCCATGCTATACCAACTGATGTATCTACAGAGGATTACTGTAATAAGGTGCCTCTGAAATCCAGAAATGTGGGTGGAAGGAGACTCTGTGGATTTTCTGTTGTGTTGTGGGTTGTTTTTTTTGTTTTGTTTTACACTGGTGGAGTAGATCAGTTTTGGTTTTTTTTTTTTCTTTGTTCT